TAAGGGGAAACTTGGTCTAGGGTATATGGGGACTCTATCATCACAGTATTCTGTAAATCTAAATGTATTCCTAATTAAATGTTTATTTTAAAAAGATTACTCAGTGTTTGAAGCCAACATAATAACATTATGGTGCACCGGATATAACATAGGTAAAATCAAAAGGCATGACAACAATAGCACAGAGGGCAGGAAAGGAAAAGTAGTATACTCTTTGAAATTTTTTATATGTACTAGAAGAGAAGTAGCTTAATATCACTTGAAAGCAGACTGGGATAAATTAAACATGTACAGTAGAAATACCAAGATTTATAGCAAATAAGCCAACAAATAATATATATATAATATAATAGTCAGCCCAAAAGAAGGCATAAACAATATAAAAAAGAAAACAAAAACAGAACCAAGAGAACAATGATTGTAGCATGGCAGATTTAAACACAAGCATATCAATTACCACATCAAATGTAAAGATAAATATTATCTGAATGAATAACCCAACTGTATGTTGTCTATAGAAATACACTTTAAATGTGACCACACAAACTAACAGTACAAAGACAGAAAAGGTTTTACCGTTTTACACCAATCAAGAGAATCCTGGGGTGGCTATATTAATATAAAACTACATTTTAGAACAAAGGATTTTAAAGGTGATAAAGAGAGTCATTTTATACTGAAAAGGGAAAAATACACCAACAGGACAAAATAATCCTAAATGTTTAAGTAACTAATAACAGAGCATCAAATTACATGAAGCAAATACTGATAACTGGAAAGTGAAGTAGATAAATATAGAATTATAGCCATAGATTTCAATAACCATGTTCCACTATGCAATAAAAAAAAACTACACAAAAATATTTAGTAAGGATATGGAACATTTGATCAACACTATGAACTAACTTGATCTAATTGACATTTATAAAAGCTTGCATTTCACAATAGCAGATGCATTTAATTTTGAAGAGCACAAAGAACATTTACCAAATTGTATCATATTCAGAGCCATAACATAAGTCTCAATAAGCCAGAAATTATTCAAACTATATAAAATATGTACTCTGACCCTAATGTAATTAAACTGGAAATAAATGGAAAAAATATTCAAAATCCTTGGGAAAATACCCAAATATTTAGAAACAAAATAACACTTCTGAATAACCCATGGATGAATGTTAAAATCACAGAGAAATTAAAGAATATTTGAAACAAATAAAAACACACAGCACATCAAAACTAAAAGTAAGTTAAAGCAGTATTTAGAAAGTAATACATGGCAAGAAAATAATAAAGATCAGAGTGAAAATCAATGAAATAAAAATAGAAAAAATAAAGTCAATGAAATCAAAGGGAGGCTCTTTGCCAAAAAATATTAAATTATTAACCTTTCAATATTAATAGATATGAAAAACAAGAGAGAGAAAAGGCACAAATCATTATGCTAATATCAGGAGATTGGACATCATTACAGATTTTATTATGAAGAAATATTAACTTTATGCCAATAAATTAGACAAAAAATTTGAAATGGACCAATTCTTGAAAAACACAAAGTACTAAATCTCACCCAAAAAGAAATGGATAACTTGAATAAGAATTCTACCTAATATTTAAAGAAGAAATAATACCAATTTTATATCAACTCTTGCAGAAATTTTAAGAGAATGGAGGGAATACTTGCCAACTCAGTCTATGAGGTTTGAATTAGCTTGGTACTAAAAAAAGAAAAAAGCAGAAATTTCATGTAAAAATATATTTCAGTTTCTAGAAGGAAGATTCTTTTTTTGTTTTTTAAAATTCGGGCAACCAAAATTATCATATTTGTACTTTTCATCTATTAATAAAGAAAATATAAAGAATATCATCAAGAATCTGGAATTCTTCAAACTGAATTCTTATATCATTTTATAATTGTTCTATTGGGAAAACAGATATACCCTGAAATTTGCTATTTAATCATTTTTAAGTATACAAACTCAGAGAGCTATTATTATATTCCACAATGTTATGCAACCACCACCACTGTTATCTCCAAACATTTTCATCATCCAAACAACAAACCTCTGTAACTCATGTAAGCAATAACATCCACCGATCCACCCATCATAGCAACTCTATCTGTTCGACTATAATTTCCCTATTTAGATATTGGTTTAAGTGAGATCATATGCTATGTTCCTTTCACATTTTTTTTTCTGGCTATTTTTACTTAGCATAATGTTTTCAGAGTTTCGGTTCATTGTATCAGTATCAAAACCTCCATTCTTCTTTACATGTATAGTAGTAATTGATATCATAACACAGAAAGAACAAGAGCGTACAAAAATTTTAATATAACCATTTTGATTCATTTTCTAGGAGAAATTACTCTGGGACTTGAAAGCTTCCTAAAAGGACTTAATAGTATGCATCATAATGAAACACTATGGGGCTCAAAGGGTGGTGGTGTTCACCAGTGGATTTGGGGTGAGGTGTAGTTCCCGATCTGGAGGATGTGGTGAATTATTGATCGGAGGGAGGAGACAAACTGCTAACCCCTTGCTAGGGAGAGCAAAGATATAAAATGTAAGACAATAGAGTTAGGAAAAAAGAGACAAACATTTGTTGGTGTGGGGCAGGTCGGAGCGGGAGCGAGGGGATTGGTATATTACACATAGTGAGTATGACGCACACAGTTTGGGGGATGGACACACTTAAACTCAATGACTCAGGGGAGAGGGAGACAAGCGGCAATGTATGCTGACCTTAATGTTTTTACCCATAATAGCTTGAAATTAAATAAAATAAATAAATACTTTCCTCAGATTTATTAAAAAATATATTCATAAATGACATTATTGTAGAGACTCACCCCATTTCTGATTTTTACCTATTTCTAAGCCTTGTGGAAATGATCAATGAAGAATGCAGTGCATCTTAGACTGAATTATTATGCAATCAAGAGTGAAAAGAAATAATAGGGGTCAAGAAAGGAGTAAAGATAAAATGGGGCTGGCGGCCAGAGTAGCAGTGGTCTGAAGGGGCGGCATAGTTCAAGGGT